TCCTCCTGTCTCTAATCGCTTTTTTTCAATGTTTTCCAAGTCGACTCTAAGGTCAATAAATTTCTGCTTCCAAATTGAGCTACTTTGAAATTCAACCAACTGCATTTCAAAGTCAGCCATGTGTATGGTCTTTAAGATAACTTGTTACGTAAAATTATTTATTTATCTAAGATGCACCTACACTGAATTTATCTGAAATATAAAAAAGTCGATATTCAAAAAAAAATTGTAAATGGAAGATTATAAGAGAGGGTTTCACGTGCCAGCAAAAGTTACTGGCATGCCATGTTTGGCACGCGTGCCAGAGGTTGCCCACCCCTGCTCTAGCCACTGAGCCAAACCAGCTAGGGCCATAGTGCCTTTTTCTACAAAATTACATTACCAACTATTAAAAAAATGTTTGCTATCACTACTTTGCCTGTACTCTTTTTTTATTTTTAGATTAACATCAGCAGAAATTTCTACTCTGCTCTTCCTTAACTTTATTCCCTTTTTTCCTTTTTCTTTGCAGCATCTTAAAGTTTTTCTTGCATGTTTATGAATGGAGCCCTTTGGGGATGATATGGCACTTTTCAACTCTGAGCCGTTGATGTCTTTGCTGTTTCTTCCAGGTTTAATCGAGGGGAAGAGGTTGCTTTAGTACCCACCATATTGATAAATGGATGATGATGATTAGAATAATTTCACAAGCTACCAATAAAAATTATTTCTCTCTGTACATGGTATATACTTACATACATTGTGTTTCTTAATGTTTGACTACAGATTGTGTATTTTTTCCTGGCCCTGCCCTGTTAAAATATTGCAACTATTTTTATTTGAGTCACATTAACCAGTACAGTGCCCCTTTAAGCTTCTAGATTAAAAGCTACTTGTACTAGATGATTTCTACCTCCCCTAGCCTCTATTCTCTCTCACATGTTCCCTCTTTCATTGTTGTCCTTGATGGAGTTGCTAGCTACACCGCTTTTGTGAAGACACACCACTTTTGTGAAGACATTTGTTTTTTTTAACATAGAACATCTGGAGATGCCTTTCATGCCTATAAGTAAATAAAGTTACTAGTCAGACTTTTGGTAGAATCATTACAAAATTTTATCTGTGGTCTAGGGATATTTTACTCTAGTTTCTAGAGTAATAAGTAACAGATGATGTTGATTTTAAATTATATATCTTAAAGCAAGTTGTTTGGATTTATTCCTCTTGCTTTTGGAACTCCAAAATACTGATAAATGGTAACCATGAGGTGAAGGTTATGTTAATTAGCTTGAGTATGGTGATTATTTCAGTGTAGACATGTAACAAATTATCATTGTATACCTTGAATATACACAATTTTTAAATTGTCAATTATACCTCAGAAAAACTGGAAAAAAATACTGATGCAATCTAAGTTTTCCTTCGATATTGATTTTATTTCAGGGAGCTTTCTTCCTTGTTTACAGAGCTTGCCGAGATCCTCATTTCTTTCTTCACAGAAAATAAAAATCCCAAACACTAGTATTTGTTTTCCTTTTTTGTGTTAGTCAGTTTTTTATCTTAAACTTCACAATTTGGCAGCTATATGTTTAATTCTTTTTTTTTTTTTTAGTAAGTTATTCATGAATTCTCTATTCATAGTGCTTTTCTTTTTCCCCACTGGGGTAAGTTCCTACAATACCTATCTACAATTGTTTTGCCCATTCCTCACAGGTTGAATTACCACCATCTTCGTGGTGTGCTCTTTAAACACAGCTGAACTCTCCCATCTAGTTTAACACGTGTGGTCAAAGAACTTTCTTAATTCTATCAAAATCTCTTTCGCATTTTGAATCTGTATTAATGAATATGAAGTGAAGATAGTTACCAGCCTTATTTCTTAGGATTATAGGAAGATAAATGAAAAAAAATTAATGATTTAATGTCATGAATAATTTATGAGTTCTAAACTTAAAATTATCTCCAAATTATTTAAAATATAAAACATTAAAAATTTTTGTATAGGTTTTTCTACATGTGAAAATTAGTGACACATTAAAGATATATACAATATTAGTGCTAGGAAGTACATTTTATATACTAGTATATATTTTTAATCCTCACCGGAGGAGTGAGGATATTTTTTCCATTGACTTTTAGAGGGAGTGAGAGAGAAACATCAATGTGACAAAGACACAGTGATTGGTTGCCTCCCACACGTGCCAATGCGGGAGGGGATTGGACCTGCCACCCAGGTAGTGCTTTCTTTCTTTTTTTTTTAATTAAATCTTTATTGTTCAGATTATTACATTTGTTCCTCTTTTTTTTTCCCCCCATAACTCCCCTCCACCCAGTTCCTGCCCCACCATCCGCCCTAACTCCCCACCCACTGTCCTCATCCATAGGTGCACGATTTTTGTCCAGTCTCTTCCTGCATCTCCCACACCCCTTCCCCCCCCCCCAAACAAAACACGCC